GCAGATGTAGAATCTTGGCCTATATAGCTTAGAAGTGATACTTCATTTTTTCAGTTCTAAACAGTAGCAAAACAGCTGCTATGTTGAAAAAGAAAAGTGCATTCTTGTAAACAAAGAAAAATATCAACCAGTATCTTTAAGGAAGATGGTGTCCTTTGACTTTTTTGAAATGCTAGAATTGGCAGATCTGCCTCATCTATTGCTGTATCTATGGGGATGTCGTATTTAGTGGACAAACCTCACTTTCTTAGCAGCTCATCTGGGTTGTTGAAAAACAGCTGCAATTAAGTGTGTTGGGAATTTTTAATGATTTAAAATTGAAAAGTTACATAAGGGTGAATGTACAAAACTTGACAGGAACAAAACATTAACTAACCCCTCTCTAGCAAACATGTACTTTCAATAGCAGCCTGATCCACATCACCTGCTACTGGGCATATCAGGGGATCTTTGTGTGTACTAGGAGTCAGCAGCCACTCAATCAACAAAATATGATAGTGATCTTATCAAGTAATTTACATTGTATTTCTAAGATTTCTATCTTTTGATTCCTATAGATATGGTTAGTTTTGAGCTATTACTGATCATAACAAAGAATTAGCAATTAACCAACATTTTTAACCACATTCAAATGGATAAATGCCAAGGGAGTATTTGCTAGCGGATATGTGATTAGTGCGAGTTCATCTATTTGAACCTGACAATAGAGCTGCAGTTTTACCTTTAACCTTACAGAATTTCAGGCAAGGGTGATTTACAATTATTCATTGCTCTGTGTCTGGTGTTACAAACAGGTGATATATTGAGTCTGTCAGAAAATGCTGGAAGCCCTCAGTGGTTTGATGAGAGGTTTTCATGCGAAAAGCTAAATTCTCTTGTCTGTTTTTAGATGCTGATAAGCCAACTGTTAATTTCAAACATTTACAGTTTTTGTTTTTACCTTTGCAGTATAATCTCTACAATCCAATTTTGTTTACAAACTTCAGCATTAGGGCCAATATACTAAATTCTTGCTCAAATCCTGTATCTGTTGAACTTAAGTTGGGTTTTATAGCAATCCTAATTCAAATTGCTAGAGTTCTTATTTTGTAACCACTAAAAAATAACAACAAAAAATCTTTGAATATGTGCAGATTATAAAGGTTTTCAATACAAAAAAGCAAGCTATTAAAGAGAGAACGTGCAATATCATCAACTTCGATCTGGTTTGGAAGAATTCCTCATCCCAGTTGTGAGGGAACTGAATTAACAAACATAGTTGATATTACAAAAAAAGTCACTCGAACACCTCACATCAATGACTCTAGTGATAATTTAGTCTTGTTTAGTAATTCCTCTAAGTTAGTTTCCAGATGTCATGAGAATTCAATGTTCAAACAAAATGACTTTTAAATCTAGAAATTAAAATTAATTTATTTGTAGCTTTTAAATATTTCTGTATTAAAGCCTACTGTTCACTTTTTCATAATGGAACTGATGGTGTACCCTTCTATCCCTGGCCTTAAAAGTTGTTCTTACTGTAACTATGCAGTGAGTGGGAGGATTAACGGCAAATTAAAGCAAAGAGCATAAACGTTGTCATTTTAAACTATCAATTCACCTCCAACTCATCTCCAACCTTCATTATCAAGACCAGTGTGCTTTGCCTCCTGTAAAGACCACCTTCATCCAAGCTCTGTTATAGTACCCACCTCCCCCTGTACCACAGTCTGTCCTCTGCTACTGAAACTGTTTAATGGCACTAAATGCACCTAATTGAATGCTGTCCTGATTAGTCTCCCATCCAACCCCATTAAATCTCAGCTCACCCAAAACTCTGCTTCCATATTATCAACTACAGCAAATGCATTCATCTTTCCTCCTCACTGACCACATTAGCTTCTGGTTTGCTTGTACCTTGGATTTAATATTTTAAATTTAGGACACCCTGTGGCCTTGACCCTTGCCGTCTCTGCTGACCTGTTATTCATGTTAACTTCTCAGTTCTCCTTGTTCATACAATGTGCACATTACTCCCTTCATTTTGACCTACCCTGATGAGAACTTTCGACAAGTTATGCCTCACAAACTAGAATTTACTCTCCAAAGCCTGTCCTCTCTCCACACCTATTCCTTTTGAGATCTTCCTTTAAATCATCTCCAAGCAAACATTTGATCATCATTATAATTGTCAGCTTTATCCTTGTGCCTCTGCAAAGTGCCTAGGAATACTTGTTACTTTAAAGAATCTGTATAAATGCAAATTGTTGTTTGTAAATAGTCTTATCAGAAAAAAAAATCTTTGAGCCAAAAGCAAATGCAACCAGTGATCTGTTACCAAAAAATACGATAGAAGACAAATACATTCCCTAATTTAAAAATAAAGTCTTGAGGATGTAGTGGTGTTTGAAAGGAAAATGTAGAAAAAGTTAATAAATCTGACTTTCCAACACTTGTTTCTGGAGTTTAAGTCTATCTCCATTTTCACTTGTAGTTGGAAGTAGTAATGTCTAAGCACGAGTCTTTCTATAATTGATGGAAGAACATTTATTGTGTGCATGTAACATTCACAACAAACTTTGATTAAAGTGAGATTGGTTTTGAATTGAATTTTGTTCTACATTACCCAAAGACACAGAGTTTGACACCTTCAAATAATTGAAAATCATCTTGAAACCTGTTCGTATAACATTGACTTGATAAAATCTCATTGGAGAGGAGAGAGGCAAGACAAATGAAATATTTGCGCAATAGCATTAAGTACATGGAAATGCAGTTCATCTGAGTTTACAGCAATCCCACTAAATCACTTGAACGGATGCAGGGGAAAAAGAATGGCTGTTAGGTAGACATTTTTTAATCTTTGCAGTGAAAAGCCAATCCAGTAATGATATCAAGAAGAATTGACTCCCTTGTGGCTTGTTCACTCCCACGCTTATAAAAACTGTACAGTTCCAAAATATTTAACTTTTTGACTTGACTACTGCATCAGTGATTGCTGGATTGGATCTGCACAAATCCCATCTTTTACCACCAGCAACACTGGAGCCTCTTAGCTGGCTGACCTGTATGATAGCACAAGTAGAATCATAGCACTGAATTTCTTGCATTTAAGCTTGACCTCTGTGTAAGACATGTAACAGCTGCTTGGCTGCTTTCAAAATTACACATGCTTCCAAGGATGTACATACTATAAAGAGAACAATCTAATCTTCTGTTTTTTTCCTGTCTGTGTGCTATTTCTCCTTGTCTGAATATTTTGTCAGATGCAATATTGTCATTTGTGCGCACATCATTTATCAGACTAAACTGAAATAGCAAGCTTTAGACAATGGAACCATCCACTTTCAGTTGTTTTTTAATGCTCATACTAGGTTCACACTTTTGTGTGCTCTTTGGGTACAGCCAGTTTTATTTTCAAACATATTTTTGTTGTATGCAATCTAGTATCCAACTAATTTCGATGTCATCTATTTCAGCAAAGAAAGGAATACTTTTATTTTCATGATATTGTACTATTCAGTTGAAATATCTCAAAGCTTCATGCTGCAATTTACGTTTGGAGTATAGTGACTGTTGGTAAGAGGACAAATATGTTAGCATTTCCATACCAGTAACATCTCTGTCAGCCACGAGATGAAAAAATAGTTTTTAAAAAAATATATATTGAGGGAAAAACATTGGTCAGGACAGGAGAAGAACTCTCTGCTTCTCATGCATTTGTTACCTAGGATTGAAACATGTGAAAAGGGGACCTTAATTTAACTTCTCTCCTGGCAGACAGTACTTTAACCATGTAGTACTGTGCTACAGTATCAGCCTAGATTAAAAGAAGACTTCCTGGATATCTTAGGAAATAACTGTAAAATTATGTTATCATGAGACTTTGGAGTGCAAGTTCATAGTTCCTTGAAAGTGGAACCAGGTAGACAGGATAGTGAATAAGGCATTTGGTACACTTGCCTTTATTGGTCAGTGCATTGAGTATGGGAGTTGGGAGGTCATGCAGCAGCTGTACAGGACATTGGTTAGACCACGTTTGGAATACTGCATGCAGTCCTGGTCTCCTTGCCATAGGAAGGATGTTGTGAAACTTGAAAGATATACAAGAATGTTGCCAGGGTTTGGAGAGTTTGAGCTATAGGCTGCAGCTATTTTCCCCGAAACATCAGAGGCTGCGGGGTGACTTTATAGAAGTTTATAAAATCATGAGGGCCTGGATAGGGTAAATAGACAAGGCCTTTTCCTTAAGGTGGGGGAGTCCAAAACTAGCAGGTACAAGTTTAAGGTGAGGGGAATAGATTTAAAAGGGACCTAAGGAGGCAACTTTTTGACACAGAGGATGGTGCGTGTATGGAATGAGCTGCCAGAGGAAGTAGTGGAGGCTGGTTCAATTACAACATTTAAAAGGCATCTAGATGGCTATATGAATAGAAAGGGTTTAGAGGGAAATGGGCCAAACGGGGGCAAATAGGACTAGATTTCTTTAGGATATATGATTGGCATTGACGAGTTGGACAGAAGGGTCTGTTTAGGTGCTGTACATCTCTATAACTATATGATACTGTATCCTTTATTTAAATAAGAGGAAATGCAGAAAGCTCCTGTCATTGACCATAATGTTAAAAATACCATTGGAAAGAGGATGTGGTGAAATTGATTTAATGTGTTGTCCTTGGGATTTTTGAGGTATTAATTTTTCTAACAGGCAGGTTGTATGGGTCAGATACAGTTGTGTGGATAAATTATGTTCCATGCATTTTCTTCTATCCCTGGGCAGCAGTTGCTTTCCCATTCCTGCCTGTCAGTTTGATGGACACCCCTGAGAGCAACAACACAGGATGCGGACAATTTGTTCTGCTCTACTGGTCTCTGAGATCGCTCGTTTAATATTTTCCATGCATGTAGAAAAATCTTAGATTCAGTTGTACGTCATCTGCTGTGGGTTCTAATTGTAAAATAATGAAAAATTGAATGCTTTTGATTTATTTTTTTACAAAAGCTGTTTCTTTCTTTTGAAGCCTGAAAGAGATACTGTTCAGGACACTTTTGCAGCAGATGGAAATTCCTGGAAAATAACTGCTAAGGTTGGGCAAAAGACAAAGCCAATCATCCCAGAAATGTGTTTCACGTCAGGTGGAGAAAACACGGAGCCTTTACCAACAAATTCGTACATTGGTGATGATGGGACCAGCTTGCTCATTTCCTGTTCAAAATGCTGTCTTCAGGTGCATGCTAGTAAGTAGTTCCCAACTCAAACAAATATATCTTCAGAATGAATGGACCATCAGTCCTATCTTGAAAAATGTGCAATTTGTGTTAATCTGCATCACAAAGGGCATGGTAATAATATGTTTTGGAAGTGAATATTCTGTTTGAATATTAAAATTCTTGAATTCATTAAAAATATATGAATAGCAGAGTGATAAAATGCCATTGAAGCTGAGTCATCTGTCATGGGTTTCTGTCCAATTGCGCACTCTAACAACGTTAAAAACCTCATGAAAGTACAGAATATAAACCAGGATAGAATGAGGCATGCGAAATGAAACATTCAGCCTTTAAGTCTGCACCAAGCATCCTAGAGTCTCAGTACAGAAGAGGCCCTTTAGCCCATCAAGTATACATCAACACAAAAACCAGGTTATGTGCCAAAGGACACACAAGTTGTTCACAAGCAATATCCTGCTCTCCTGCTACATATTAATCGATTTAAAACCTTCTAACTGATTAAAGATTTAACAACATCCTCATCAGTGTGTGACCCTTTTGATCTTTTACTTGTAAATTCTGTGTGCTTCTTTCTCACTTCACCTGATGAAGGGGCTACAGTTCGAAACTTTGTGTTTTCAAACAAACCGTTTGGACTATAACCTGATGTCGTGTGATTTCTGACCTTATCCACCCCAGTCCAACACCAGCATCTCCACAAGATGTCAAGGGCTGTCATTCTCGCATCACTTCTGGAATTCAGCTCTTTTATCTATGTTTGAACCAAGGCTGTAATGAAGTCAGGAGCTGAGTGGCCCTGGCAGAACCCAAACTGGGCGTCACTGCACAATTTATTGCTGAGCAGGTGCTATTTGATAGCACTGTTGATGACTCCTTCCATCAGTTTACTAACGATCAAGAGTAAACTGATGGGATGGTGATTGGCCGGGTTGTATTTGTCTTGTTTTATATATACAGGATATACTCCGGCTATTTTCCACATTGTTGGGTAGATACCAGTGTTGTAACTGGACAGCTTGGCTAGGAGAGCAGCGAGTTCTGGAGCACAAATCTTCAATACTACTGCCTCAATGTTGTCTGGGCCTGTAGCCTTTGCAGTATCCAGTGTCTCTAACAGTTAACTTGATATCACGTGGAGTGAATTGAATTGGTAAAAGACTGGTATCTGTAATGCTGGGGACCACTGGAGGAACCGAGATGGATCATCCGCTCGGCACTTCTGGCTGAAGATTGCTACGAAAGCTTCAACCTTGTTTTTTGCACTGATGTGCTAGGCTCTTCCATCATTGAGGATGGGGGATATTTGTGGAGCCTTTTCTCCAGTGAGTTTTAATCGTCCGTCGCCATTCACGACTGGATGTGGCAGGACTGCTGAGCTTAGATCTGACCCGTTGGTTGTGGGATTGCTTAGCTCTGTCTATCACTTGCTGCTTATGCTATTTGGCAATCAGGTAGTCCTGTTTGGTGGCTTCACCAGGTTAACACCTCATCTTCAGTTATGCCTGGTGCTGCTCTTGGCATGCCCTCCTGCACTCTCCATTGAACATCCTAGAGAATCCCCTCTACACCCTCTCCAGTATAATCATGTTCTTCCTATAGTGTGATCACCAGAACTGCACATAATACTCCAGTTGTAGCCTAACCAACGTTTTGTGCAGCTCCAACATAACCTCCTTGCTCTTATAATTTATGCTACAACTGATAAAGGCAAGGATCCCCTATGGCTCCTTAACCCCTCTAATGACCTATCCTGTTGCTTTCGAGGATCTGTGAACAAGCAATCTTCCTGCACCTCCCCCCAGATGCACATACACAAAGCTCCCACCACTCCCAAACATGGATGCATACCCAAGCTCAAACCTAAATTCACCTTTGCTACCTGAGATTGCTCCCTGGATGTCGCCAACAATTTGGGGGGCAAGGGTGGTGTGAATTGGCATGGTTGGGGAATGGGAATGTGTGGGAAGTGTGTGAGGAGTGACAGCAAGAGGGCAGTGTTTTGTTTTGCTGCCATTAGTTCAAATGGATGAAGTGACAGAGCACCTCAGTTAGGTACCTAGTGAATCCCTCCAAACTACTTTCAAAGGTGCTGGGATTGCTTCCTATTAGCATCTTAATTCTCTGCACTCATTCCCTAGAACAAAAGTCCTGCATGTGCTTGTGCTTGCTCCCAAGGCACGAAAGCCAAGCCAGGAAATTTCAGGAATTCCACTACCTATGTCAGCTGAAAATCCAGCCTTTGATGCTGACCTGTTGACATCCTTTACCAATTAAAATTACCTCCAGTCAGAAATGAGAGTGTTAGCTTCTCCCCACAGTTTTCCAAAACAGTGAAGTGACAACCTGATGCTGTCAAATTCCTGCTGGCTCTGGTCGTGCACTTTATTGACCACAAACTCAACAGGATTAGCAGAGATCTGTTCGTGGGTCATGTCTCTGCCAGTTTAGACAGAGATCTTCCATAGAACATGAAAGAGGATTTGATATATAATGAATTGATTTTAAAGTAAAGCACTTTCACACCTTTTTGAATCAATATCTCTACCATTTAAGTGAATTGTAACTGTGAGGTCGTAATTGTTGCTTAACTTTTCAGTGCAAACAGAACCACAAGCAAACAACATCTTCCTTGAGAGATATCTTAAAGTCAGAATACTAGTGAAGAGGAGCCATCTTAGTACACTTGCTTCAAACCCTAGTCACAGTCAGTTACTTACACTTAAAGTAGTTCTTGCCATCGTTCCCTCAAAATCCTGTTAGCTGTGCATGGCCTGTTTGTGGGGTGCATGGTCCTTCTGAAATTGACATATAGCTGGGCATCTTAAAGAGAATATTGCTTGTGAACAACTTCTCTGTCCTTTGGCACATAAGCTGGTTATTCCATTGCCATGCACTCAGGCAGCACAGAGGGAGCTGGTTGGTTGCTGCTTTTATGTCAGCAAAAACAGCAAGGTCCCACAAACAGGGTAGCAGGAGAGAGCGCCTGATCAAACTCACTCCCACACTTCCTCTCACCCCCTCCCTCACCCTCACTCTCTCATCCCCCTCACTCTCCCATCTATTGGGCGAATTTGTATTTGCAGATACATTCTATTTTGTTCAAAAAGCACACACTTTATAGACAGTCATTCAATGTGGCATTTAAATGAGGGGGCATAATTTTAAGGTGAAGGGCAGGAGCTTTAGAAGGGATTTGGTAGTTCAACCAAGAGCAGAACTTTTGACAGTGCAGGACTCGAGTTGGTACAGCATAGTGGCTTTGTTATTGGACTAGTGATCCAGTTTATCAGACTAATCTGGAAACCTGGAGTTCAACTCCTCATGAGCATCAATTAAATCAATGGAATAAAAAGCTTGTGTTGGTAGTGATCACATAAAGATTACCGCATTGACATAAAAACCCATCCAGTTCACTAATGTTCTTTAGGGAAGGAAAGTTTCACCTTTGCCAGATCTGACTTGTGTGTGATTCCAATCTCCAAGCCAGTACACAGAGTATCAACCACCCTCTGAAATGGCTCAGTCAGCTACTCAGTTGTATTTGGAAGGTACCTTCCCAACCCTTCTCAAGGACAGTTTGGACGGTAAGTAAATGCTAACCCTAATCCTGTGAATGAATCAGCAAAACTCTCTCAGTTCTGCACTAGCATCTGTCTAGATTATCTGCAGCAACCTGTTGGAATTCCCAGTCAACTGACTCAGGGAAGAGTGCTCCCAATGAGCAAAGCTGACACTTGTACGAAGCATAATATACCCTGCTCTTATTTGTGAGTTAATTGTGATGATGAAAAAACCAAATATAAACTATTCTAACAACCAAGTTTCTAAATAAGTGATCTGTGAGACATTGAATTTAGATGCACAAATACAAAATTTTATGTACTGTCTGACTGAGAAAGGTCAAAAGTGAACTCCTGTATTTCAACTCATTCCGACAAATGTCACTGTATAAATTGAATTTCTAGAATAGGAGAAGTGGATATAAATTCGTACTCGTGTTTACACTGATTCATATAGCAGCAGCAGTTGGTTTTAGCTCCACAGATTGCCTGTTCCTCATGAGGTCTGTTAGACCATTGTTGATTACATATTTTCTCTCTCTTTATTTGTGCTCTGGGGATTTTTCTGTTGTTTTTTTTTGGCGTTCAAATTGAATCTATTTGCATTCGAACTGTAGTTTCTAGTGATTTCAGTTTTCCAGGTCAATCACAGAAGCTGCTCCTCAACCCAATGAACAAAGTAACTATGGAGTGGGATCACAGCATGTTCTAAACATCATAGCTCCTCATTTTTAAATTTTGATCCATTAGTTGTATATCTATTTTAAATATAGGGACAAATCATTAATGCTCTGGCGATTGGAAGAACCTGCCAGCAGTGAAAATGTGCAAGTCTGATCCCGAATTTATTATTTCAAGATAGTTTTGAAATCTGGAGTTGATAAGATTCTTCACCTCTTCACATACTCCCAAAAACAAAACTGACCTTCTCTTTGTCAGACACTTTGTTGCTTCCTCGTTTCATAAGGAAGATCAAACCTGCATTGAAGACACCGTTATTAAAGCGTCTTTGTAGTAAAATGATCATATCTATGTGTTTAATTGCCAACTCTGATTGTATTATGATCACGCTTGTGCCCATCCAACATCTGTTAAACATAGGCATAGAGTTTCAAATTCTGGAGGCAGTTAGGGTGGAAATTTGATTCTTCAAGATTGGCATACTGCAACCAGTAGATCCCACTGTGTCATCAGGGCAATTCAATTAAAATTCCTTTTTGCTATAGAGAGGCAAACATTGGCCTAAAACATTGGTTGTTCAAGAAACCAGTTATAAAATTGCTGACTTAATTATAGTTGGTTTTGTCCTATCTATTTGCCACAGTCTTACTAGGTTTAGAGGTGGTTCCACACACTTATCTTCCGTTTACACTTGATGCACTCAACAATGCTCTAAGACTTTCTGGTTGGGTATTTGGATCTAAGCTTATGCTTTGGGATAAGTAGAAATGCTGGTATTCAAATTGTATTATGATATTCTTACAGTTTTAAATGATAAAGGATCACATAAGCTTAATCCAGTGTTTTCAATAAACAAGCATTTAGTGTGGCTATGCTCTGCAGGTTTGAAACTACTAATTTTAGAGTTGCACAGGGAATCGTTTCAGCCTTGCTAAACAGTGAAGCCTAATCTTAAACTCAGCATGCTAGGGAGATGAAGATTAATTAGTAACACACTGGAACTGCTTTATTAAGATACTGATTTGGGGATAAATAAACACGTTTCTAACCAGCTGTTTTGCTTTTGGCAGGTTGTTATGGCATTCAACCAGATTTGGTCAAACACGGTTGGACTTGCTCACGATGTACAGCCAATGCCTGGACAGCAGTAAGTGTTTCACATCACACACTTTACAACTGTTTTGAACATGAGGTCTGAATTGCTGAGGTTAACAGGTTATTTTGATGTGTCAGTGAAGGGTGGTGGAGGAAAATGTGAGCTCGTATCCACAATTCTACCCCTGGCAGAATATTCAACCTATTCTGCAAAGTGGGATTTTCAAAAGAATGGGAACAAAAGTGAGTGTGTTGTAAAAATTCAAGCTTTCTTACCAGCCACTGACAGACCTAATCGATGTATTTGTTGAAAAACAAAACTTTATAGAATTAAGTTGATTCTGTCAAGTGTAATTTAACAGTTTCTTCATGTGCAGAACATTTATTAATAACTGAAAAACTTCACATTTTCAATTGGATCCAATAGAAACTGCCATCATCCCTGTTAAAAGAAAATAGTTGAAATTTTGCAGAAAGTGTTTTTGCAGTACACCCAGTATTGCCTTTCAATGAATCTGTATAAAATGTCCTTAGATGGTATTAAGACAGTTATAGAATCGGATTGAAATGGCAACTTGTCATCTTCACAGCAAATTATATCGTGTTGAGTTATCACTCATTCATTTAAAAGATGAGGGTTTTGCTGACGTAGCCAGCACATAGCCCAATCATAATTGTCCTCCAACTGACTGTTAATAGGACTGTTCAGAGTCAATTGCAGTTGCTGTGAGTCTAGAATTACATATGGCTAGGAAGCCTTTAACAATAACCACCATGCTATTGTTCCAATGTTTAAAGCTATGCAGTAATTTCTAGATTAGAATTTGAGTTAGAGACTTCTCAGATGACATTCAAATTCTAGTTCCACAAGTTATGAAATTGTTTTAATTCAGATTGCATGTTATTCAGAGGTATTACAACAGAAAACTCTCAAAAATAACTCAGCAGTTTAGGCTGCATTTGTGTAGAGAGAAAGGAACAGGGTTAACGTTTAAGGCCTGTGACTTTTCATCAGAACTGGGATAACTTAGGGATAATTTTAGGTTTTGAGCAAAGAATGATTGCGCCAAGTACAAATGAAATTCATGTGGATATGATGGTAGACAGGTGAGATTGAATCATAGAAAGATTAGTCCTCCAGTCTTGAAGGGAATAGAGATTAGGCAAGAAAAGAATCAAAGGATGTGCACAGCGCAGGTACACAGCTAACTGAAAGGAAAAGAAACCAAAACAAACAAAGAAAAAGGAACACACAGAAAACAGGATAATGTGAAATTGTTGACCTCATCATTGAGTTTGAGAGGCTGTGAATAGTCTAATTGAAAGTTTGGAGGACGTGTTATTAATTTCAATAAACGGTATATCAAAAAGCAATATGTTAATGGATTTGGTAATGCACAAAATAAATGTTCTTATTCCAAGAACTCCCTTCATCTCATTATTTCCCTCCAGTTGTTTGATAAACCATGTTTAAAATTGAAAATAAATTTCAGTAAAGTACATTTTATTAAGAATTACTCTATTAACATTTGGTCTCAGAGTAAGATGACAGATTTTGATGTTGGTAAAATAATTGACAAACTAAGGTTTCTACCAAGGCTTCAGGATGATAGTATCTCCAATCTTCAAGAAGAAATTATTTTAAATTATCTTTGCATAAGTTGAGTGTTTTGCAAGCCTTTGAACTGAGTGGTAAAAAGCACAAAGGATTTGTATTTATTAATACCTTTTAAAAAACAGTAAATAAATTGTTTTTGAAGTGTAATATTGTTGCATTTTAAAAATGTGGTAAGCATTTTGCCCATATCAAGTTGCCACAAACAGCAATGGTAATGACCAGAGATTCTTTTCATTATGTTGAACGAGGGGCAAATATTGACCAAGCCAAATGCTACCTTCCTGTTGCCATTGCTTTGTTAGGTGGTAATTATTTTGAGTTTAAAAGATGCATTCTAAGGAATTTTGGTAAATTTCTGCAGTGTATCTTATATGGAGTAGTGGTAGTGGAGGGGATGGATGGTAGTGGATGTGATGCCATTCAAGCAGGCTGCTTCGTCCTGGGTGGTATCAAGCTTCTTAGATATTTGAGCTCCACTCATCCAGGCAAGTGGGGAGTATTCCATCACACTTTTGACTAGTGACTTGTAGATGTTGGCCACGCTTTGGAGAGTCAGGAGTTGAGCTATTTGCTTCAGAATTTCCAGTATTTCAGCTTGTTTTATAGCCACTGTGTACATGTGGCTGGTCCGGTTAAGTTTCTGGTCAGAGCAACTCCCAAAATGTTCCTAGTATGGCAAATTCAAAAATTGTAATAACATTGAATGAGAAAGAAGGCAGTAAACCTTTTCTGATTGGACATGGTCACTGCCTTATTTTTTTAATATATATTCATTCATGGGATGAGAGCATCCCTGGCTAGACCAGCATTTATTGCCCAGAGGGCAGTTAAGAGTCAGCCACCTCACTTGAACATCTGGAGTCACATGTAGGCCAGACCGGTAAGGATGGCAGTTTCCTTCCTAAAGAATATTAGTGAACCAGATAGGTTTTTTCAACAATTGGCAATGGGTTCATTGTCATCATTAGACTCTTAATTCCAGATTTTTTATTTAATTGAATTCAAATTCCACTGTCTGCCATGGCAGGATTCGAACCTGGGTCTCTGGATTAACAGTCGAGCGATAATACCACTAGGCCATAGCTTCCCCTCTTGTGTGGCATGAATATTACCTGGCACTTGTTATCCCAAATCTGAGTGGTGGTCAGGACTTGTTAGCTGTTTCATTTTCTGCATTTTCGGTCCCATTCCCGTTATTTACGAAGCAGCAATACCCACTTCAGAGCTTATGATAGAGCAAATCAAGGTGTTTGGGCCCAGAGGATCAACCTGAAGAACTCCTGCACTGTGATTTTCCTTTGTGCTAGGTATGACTTCTGCTAGTGAATAGGGTTTTCCCCTTATTCACATTGATTTCAGCTTTAGCAGGGCTACTTACTCTCTACTTGAGGCTATACTTTGTCAAATGCTACCTTCCTGTTAATAGCCGTAACTTTCACTTCAACTTTTGAATTCATCTATTTTGTTGATGTTTGGATCAAGCTGTAATGAGTTCCCGAGTTGAGTGGTCCTTGCAGAGCCCAAAGTCAGCATCAATGTAATTGATGAGTAAGTGCCACTCCATAGTACTGTTAATGATACCTTCCATCACTTTGCCTCTGATTGAAAGTACAATGATAGAACAGATTGGATTTGTCCTGCTTTTTTATGGATGTTGTGTTGAAACAGCTTGGCTGGCAGCATGGCTGGTTCTTGAACAGAAGCCTTCAGCATTGCAACCAAAGCCTTTGTTGTGTCCAGTATGCTAAGCAATTTCTTTATAGTATGTGGAATGAATAGAATTGACTACACCCTGGATGCTAGGAAACCTCCGGAGGAAGCTGAAATGGATTGTCCACTTGGCACTTCTGGCTGAAGATAGTTGAAAACCCTTTAACCAAGGCCTTTTGAATTGGCACTGGGATTCACTATAATTGATGAATAAAATAAAACTAAGAACAGCGGATACTAGAGATCTAAAACAAGCAAAAACAAATTGTTGGAGAAACTCAACAGGTCTGTCAGCATCAGTTGAGAGAAAACAGTTAATGGTTTGATACCAGTGACCCTTCAGAACTGGAGACTGTCTGTGTGGAGTTTGCACATTCTCCCCGTGTCTGCGTGGGTTTCCTTCGGGTGCCCTGGTTTCCTCCCACAGTCCAAAGATGTGTAGGTTAGGTGGATTGGCCATGCTAAATTGCCCGTAGTGTTCAGGGAGGTGTAGATTAGGTGGGTTATAGGGGGATGGGTCTGGGTGGGATGCTCTGAGGTTCGGTGTGGACTTGTTGGACCGAAGGGCCTGTTTCCACACTGTAGGGATTCTGTGATTGATTCTATGAGCGTGTAGGCTGCGAGCTCCAAGAGCACGGCGTGGGGAACAGGCCGGCACAGCGTGTAGGCTGCGAGC